CACGGGGACTCAGCGGGGTCTTGGCTGCGGGGTCTGACCTCAACTCAGACCTCACACAGCTTTCCAGGGACAACAGCAGTCTCACAGACTCTCGGCATCTAGGGAGGGTAATGGAGGGGCTCACGGACAGTCCAGGCAGGAAAAGTCCACGGACAGTCCTGCAGGGGAAACGTGGGTATGGACACTCACAGTTCTGGCAGGGGTCCCTTCTGGCCCTCAGCGGCTGGCAGCGCGCAACGACACTCCTTAGTACACAGCAGATAATCCCACTGAGTATTTCTGGACACTCAGCGGCAGCGGGTATCCTGGCACAGGGTAGGCAGAGTATCTCTGGGCCCACAACGGGTACTTCTGGCACCTCACTTCTGGCACACAGCGGCAGCGGGTATCCTGGCACACAGCGGCAGGTAGCTTCCAGGGACACTTGGCAGCGGACAACTTCCAGGGACACTCAGCAGCGGACAGCTCTCAGGGACACTCAGCAGGCAGTGTGCAGGGACACTCACAGCGGTCAGCTTCCAGAGACAGTCAGCAGGCAGTGTGCAGGGACACTCACAGCGGTCAGCTTCCAGGGACACTCTGCAATGGACAGCTTCCAGGGACACTCAGCAATGGACAGCTTCCAGGGACACTCAGCAACGGACAGCTTCCAGGGACACTCAGCAGCAGAGACATTCAGTAGCAGGCAGTGTGCAGGGTCACTCAGCAGCTTCCAGGGACACTCACAGCGGGCAGCATGTGGGGTCACTCAGTGGACAGGCTTGCAGGGTCTGGCGGGGTCTTGGTTGTGGGGTCTGGACGCAACTCAGACCCCTCACAGCACTCTGCCCCGAGCAGGGGACAAACTGGCACCCGTTGGGTCCCACGCCGGTCTTCTTAAGCCGGCGCAGAACGCTTCCCGGTTGCCCCGGCAACGGCCGGCTCAGCGTCGGGTTGCCAGGGCAATGAGGCACACCCCCCTCACTCGGGCCACGGTCAGGGAGTGCGGCCTTTGTCTCCGGTGGGCGTAGAGCGTGGGAAGCCTCGTGCCCGCGCTGCGTCCTCCGGGGGGACGCGCAGAGACACCTTGCCGGTCTGCGCTGGGGATTCTTGGTGCGGGGGCCCAAGAGGTGCTAACCGCACCACAGGGGGCGTTTCCTCCCGCCATGCACAGCCCTTTGATGTAGGCTGGCAGGAAGCGAGGACTCTGCAAGGGGGGAGGGAGGGATGAAGGCAGAGGGACAGCAGGCAAAGGGGGGTGGGGGAGGCACGGGCACTCCATGACACCTTATAAAAGAAAACTAATGCAGCCACCACATGACAGATAAGCTGCAATGTATTACATTTTTGGTTTAGATTTAATACTGCTTTAAGATTTCTGGCAGAATTAACAGGTGCTTTTTTAACTTGGCAAACAAGTATAGCAAAACACATTCAAAGGTACATTTAACCTCTTGCGGTTCACCCATTGCCTAAAGACAGTGGACGGGAAGCTTTGCCGATGTGGGATAATGTACCTGTACCTCAGCCTGCTTTGGCCGCTCCTGCACGACTCTCAGAGCACGCACCCGGGAGTCTGGCGATACAAATGTCCCCCGCTGGGTTCGGGTGATCAGATGGTGTTTTCCCTGCTGTGACCAATCACAGACTCACATGGTAAACATTGAAAGTGGAAGTAAAGATCGGTTCCCTCTTTACTCACTGTGAGAGCAGAGAGAAGCGATGCAGCAGTTTGCGAGTGTGCAGCAGACTATCAGGCTGCATGTACACTCACAAACTGGTGTGCCAGCCACTCCCAGTGTCCCTGATCACTACCCCAGTGTCCCTGTTCACTGCTCATTGTATTCTATAGTAAACAATATAGCCAGCCCTGTTATCTGTCCCAGTGCACACAGTAACATGGCCATACACCATACCAATGTCCTAATGACTGCCATTCCAGTGGCCTGATCACCGCCATATGCCATACCAGCACCCTGACCCCCGCCACACCCCAGTATCCTTATCACCACCATGCCCCATACCAGTGTTCTGATCATTGCCATACTCCATACCAGTTTCCTAACCACCATACTCCATACTAGCGTTCTGATCACCGTCATACCCCATACTAGCGTTCTGATCACCGTCATACCCCATACTAGCGTTCTGATCACCATCATACCCCATACTAGCGTTCTGATCACCACCATACCCCATACTAGCGTTCTGATCACCACCATACCCAGTGACCATGCCCTCCCTCCTCCCTCCCTTTTCTTCCTTCCACCATCCCCTCCCTTTCTTCCTCCCTCCCCTCCTTTCCATCCTTCCTTCCTTCCTCCATACATTCCCTCCCTGCCTTTTCTTCCTTCCTTCCCTCCTTCGTCCATCCATTCCTTCCCTTTCTTCCCTCCCTCCTTCCTTCCTATCTCTCTCCCTCCTCTTTCCTATTTTTGTCCTCCAGCAATAGCATTCGTGAGGATTGCAGTCAAAGAAAGTTAATTTTGTGTCATCAGCCTATGGTAGTAGTTGGTCCCACATGGAGACATCCGATGTAAGGGGAACTGTGATAAGGATGTGTGATATAACGGGGTACAGGTTCTGTTTATTCATCCCAATCTAATGACAGCCCAAAATATACTAGTGCTCCCTGTTCACTCCCTACTGACACTGTACACTACCCCCACAAAATCGTTGTGAAAAAAAATAATACAAATATAAATTGTTAAAAAAAAAAAAATTCTGCCACCCACTCCATTGCTCTACTGACACCATCCACTGGCCACCCAAAAGCAATTTGAAAAAAAATGATAAAAATAATAAAACATTAAATTGTAAAAATAATAATAATAAAAATAAAGAACTACTGACACCATCCACTGGCCACCCAAAGCATTTTGAAAAAATGATAAAAATAATAAAACATTAAAAAAAACAAAACAATAACAACAAAAATAAAGAACTACTAACATCATCCACTGCCCTACTGACACCATCCTGCACATACTACCCACCGCCATGCACTCCGCACTTCTCTCCCTGTACATACTACCCACTGTCATACACTCCACAATGTAGATTCCCTATTTAACATTACCACATTCTGCACTACGTAAGTCATCTCAGACACTAACTAGGTGCAATTTAAACCACACCCACTTTTCACCACGGCACGTTTGCACACAGGCCCATAGATTTCATGATATGCCCCTGACTATACCCCCATACTAGTGTCCTGACCAACGCTACAGCAGCATCCTGATCACTGCCATACACCATACCATCATCTGGCATTTTATGGTCTCAGCTGATCAATTTTCAGATATATATCCCATAGTCTGTAGACTATAGCTTTCACACAGACTAAATAATATACACTGTTTTGTGTTATTTTTACCCCAAAAATTAAGCAGAATACATTTTGGCCTGAATTTATGAAGAAATATTATTGATTTGCAAAATCTCTATAACAAAAACTAAGCAAAAATGATTTTTATTCTGAAATTTATGGTAATTTTTCATGTATAAAAAATAACGAACCCAGTGGTGAACAAATACCACCAATCTATCTGTCTAAAAAAAAATGATAAAAAATTAATATGTACACAGTGTTGATCAACTGTACATTTGTCACTCAAAGTGTGATAGTACTGAAAGCTGAAAATTGGCTTTGACTGGAAGAGGGTGAAAGTATCTAGACTTGAAGTGGTTAACAGACCGAATAAGAGCAGTTCGTTATTAGGTTTTATATATACTTTAAGGGTAGATTATTACAGTTTAGATTTAAAGCACTAAACCTTGTTTCCCATTTTCTGACATAAATATGTTACCCAGTTGGCTTTGGTGACAGATTCACTTAAGTCCTTGAGGGTTAGGGACTGATGTGAATGTACAATATATATGTAAAGCACTGTGTAATTTGACAGCGCTATATAAGTACCTCTAATAAATGAACACACACATGCATACATACATACACTTTTAACTCACTTCTTTGTATTGTGTGCTCACTTCTTTGAGATGTAGTGGGAACTTACCTACTTGCTTGACCACTGCCACTCCCACTTGCCTCACATTGAAAATTGACAAGTAAATGGCTCTGTAGGATGGAAAAATGTCTTTTCCATCCAATGATAAAATTCAATTATTTAATACAGGAGAGGAACTGTAGAATAATAGAAGAAAAAAGCTTGGGGCTATATTAGGCTTTTAGTTATGTAATGCAGGAAAGTGTTCCCTTGCAGTTGAAGACTTGGTAAATACATACTGTATGCTGCAGCTGCCAACGATATCTGACTCCAAATATGGACAAGTTCCCAGTCCTAAAGGCATGAACTGCTTAATCTTTCCATGGATCAGGAGACCTTTTCTGAAACAGTTCCATAGAAGAATGTTACCACCACACCTTTGTTATATTAACCTCCCTAGCTTTCTGATTATATCCATATTTCTGTGCTCAAAGCAGTACATTTTTTGCATGGAAATATATATTTTTTTTTTGTTTATTGTAAGCCTGTAATTTTTAGGAATAACTCACTGAAATCTGTCCGAACAAGAGTCTAGTAAACATCCCGGGTATGTTAAAATTTGAAACACGAAATCATAAATTATAATTTAATAAATAATCATAAAAAATAATAATATAATAATAAATTTAATTCTGATGACGAATTTCCCCACGAATCATTATCACTCAATTCTGCAAGTGGTTCTAATTTACTATCGCTGTTCTCTAGCTGGTCTAAAACCGATTTTTTTTTTCTTTTATAAATATATTTATTAGTTTTCAATCCATATACAAGTCATTTCATCATATCTATTAAAACATTTATCAAAAACATATTTTCTCCTTATAAAATTTATTCCTATATATGACTTTCTTTTCATACCATCCCCCCCTCCCAAACACCCCCCCTCCTTCTCCCCGTCCCCTCCCTTCCCTCCCTCACCTTCCCACGCTCTATATTCTCTCTTCTCTCATTTACTCCATGTTTATTCTGTTATTCCTTAATCCAATTCTAAACCGACTACCCGGGACCTTATCTCTTCACCTTTTTCGCCATTTCTTTATATTCTACCCATCCTTTCCATTTTTTATTGTACATCTCCAGCTTATCCTTGTGCGTATAATACAATCTTTCTGTCCCAGAAATCTGGTTTACTCTACCCATCCAGTCTTCCTCAGTTGGCACCTCTCTTTTCTTCCAGTACCTGGGTATCAAGCTCTTTGCTGCGGTTAAGTAGTACCATATCCCTGACCCTTTATATACTTTCACTGGGAGTTCTGAGATATGGAGGAGGCATAATTCTGGGTCTAATCCTATATTGATTTTTGTAATCTTCCCTATCAAGTAAACCATCCTTCGCCAAAACACCTGTATTTCTGAACACTCCCACCACATATGATACCACGTGCCCACCTCTCCACAATCTCTCCAACACATCTGTGAAATTTCCGCATTCATCTTGTGCTCCAGGTAAGGGGTAATGTGCCATCTATTCAAACACTTATAATTTATTTCCACTTCTCTCATACTAATATTTTCGTGAATTAATGTGAACATCTTCTTCTTCTCCTCCTCCTCTATTTTTCTTCCCATATCTCTTTCCCATTTCTCTATGTGCATTCATTTTGTGTCTGTGTCAAGTTCCATTAATATCTTGTGTATTTTTGCCGTTCCATGTCTACCATTTCCCCGTAACTCAAAAATTCTCTCGAACGGATTCCAGTCTTTTCTAGTTCTTATAGGTTTTGGAAGGCTTTCAAAAAAGTTCTTCAGTTGGTAATATCTTAATGTCAGGGCAGGGCTGTGGAACGGACAGGTAGGCCTAGTGGCAGGGTAACGCACTGGCTGACGACAACCACCACCAACAGACTGAAGTCCCTCAGGGCGCGGAGTCTAAGTCCCAGGCTGCCCTTCACCAGGGCCCCTGATGGTGGGGATGGACTTGACGCAACCAGGGACCAGGTCGCGGCCCCCGAGACACCCCAGCTGCGGTAATGGCCGCCGCCAATGGCGTGTAGCTGGTGAGAATGACAATAGCGTAGTCAGACAAGCCGGGTCAATAACAACGGGACAAAACAGTACAGAACAGTAGACAGAGAATCACAGGTCACGGGCCGGGTTCAGCAACGGAAGGTCAGATCAAAGGGAAACACAGAGAATGGTCTTAGTCACAAGCCGAGTCAGAATACCAGAAGAGTCACGAGCGTATACACAGAGCTGTAGCAAGACAAAGACACAAGTCACAAGTGCAAAGAGCATGTGCAGATCCCAGGCTTATATGTACTCAGCCACGCCCCTCTGGGGGATGGACCTCAGAGACCTGAAGGCATAAAAGATTCCCATCATGCTCAGCAGAAATCCAAGATGGATGCTAGCACATGGAGTAACAAAACCTCTGGGAAAAGGTAGGACCTTGACACTTAATCTATCCATCTTATTAAAAAAAACTTCACCCTTTCTTTCCTCCATATCCTTATATGACCCAATTTCCTCTCCTACCATTATATCTCTCAATTGCGCCTCCTGTTTTATAATCCATTTCCCTGCTATGCTATCTTTACCCGGGTGAAATATTTTGTGTTCCTAAGTGGTATTAATTGTGAATTAAAAAACCCACCCCTTTTGTCTATGTAATAAATCCCATTCTTTTAAAACAATAAGAGTGTACGTGCTTGTGCTCTCCTCTAATTCTCTGTATTGTGCAGGCACCCAGATACTATTACTCAAACTTATTCCACTCAGTGTTTTCTCAATTTTGACCCAACTTTTCTCCGGATTATGAATCCAGTCGAAAATTCTTGCGATAATCCCTGCTTTGTAATATCTCCTAAAATCTGGTACCCCCAGTCCTCCTCTTTCTTTACTTCTAGTCAGTGTTTCATACCCTATTCTAGGCTTTTTATTCCTCCATATACATTTTATTATCATTTTCCTCAGTTATTTAAAATATGCCTCTGGGAGTTTGATTGGGATCATTTGAAATTTATATAATACTTTGGGGACAATTACCATCTTTATCAAGTTTATACGACCTATCCAGGATGGATTTCCATTTCCCAGTCTCCTCAACTCCTCCTAGTCTAAAACCGATTTTGACCTAAAGGGATGCTTTTTGGATGCCATGGACGTTTCTCAGTTTCCAGGCAGAAAGAACAGTAAAAATGCAGGCAGGGCACAGGACAAAGCACTAGGGACAAAATGTATGTGAAATTGTTTGATACAGTAATGTTTTACTATGTGATTTTAGTGAATGTCACTTTTTGTCATTTTCAAATTTCCCGCCAGTTCTGTCCCCGTGCATCCCGACGCTCACAGGGGACAGAACCCAGATGACAGATGCCGGCATCCCTTGGAGGACATTACAGGGGACACTGCAGGAGGGACATCGCGGGAGCGCAGGACAAGGAAAGTAATCGAGGGATCCCGGAGCAGTGCCACATGGTAAGCCCGAGTGTAGCTCAGGGTTACCACTTGTGGTACTGAAACTTTACCCCGAGCTACACTCGGGAATACCGCCAGGGAGGTTAAAGGGGTTCTAAGTGAATAATACTACAGGCTGCTTATTTTTAACCATTAGTAGTGGAAGGTTTCATTATAACCCTTTGTGCAGGGCTTTGCGTCGGTGACGTCACCAGTTGCCAAACAAGTGAATAACTCCAAAATGTGTACTGTTTAGGAGATATTCACTTGTTTGGCAGCTGGTGACATCATCGGTACATGTGTTCTGAAGAAATGGCATACTCAGGCTGAAAATGAATGGGAGTGGACTCATGCGCTGCCAACAATAGTCTCAGAAAATGAAGTAGCTGCTAACACCTGGCTTTACTATGATGTATAACAAACTGATAAGGAAAATGGTGTAGCACTGTGTATACTGTGATATACTTAAAATAAATGGTGAAAATCAATAAAAGATGTGAATAAAAGTAACTTGGTTCAATTATTGGTGTGACACTGTATATGATTAATAAAAAAGATGTGAATAGAAACAACTTAATTCAAATATATATGAAGTATGGAGTATACCATAATTCAAACAGAGAAAAAAATGTGAATGCATAAATGTGACATGGAGACACTTAAAGTGAAATCAACAGTGACCAAATCATACACCATGACAATAGCAATATTAAATTATATATCATTAAGTCCCAAAGATTAATGAAAAGTGCTCATTTCAAATCTTCAACCATATATAATTTACATGCTCAAAGCTTGTGCCAATTTATCCGTCACCATCTGGCGTGCGCGCTCACCTCAAATATTTGACCCTCAAAGAGTCATAGAGCATAATGTATCTCCGGATGATCCCAGGTACCCAGGTAGGATGGATCTCTCCCTCTGGCTAGACACAGGGTCAGCTCCCACCGTAATCAATCACTAAATGATCAAACACCTTTAACCTCCCTAGCGGTCTGATTATGTCCATATTTCTGTGCTCAAAGCGGTACATTTTTTTGCATGGAAATATATATTTTTTTTATTGTAGACCTGTCATATTTAGGAATAACTCACTGAAATCAGTGCGAACAAGAGTCTAGTAAACATCCCGGGTACGTTAAAATTTGAAACACGAAATCATAATTTAATAAATAATCATAAAAAATAATAATATAATAATAACAATAAATTTAATTCAATAATATAATCAAACCAAAAACACTGAAATTTGAAATATAGCGCCAAGTTTGCACATCACTGAGTAAAGTCTCAAAATCTGCCATTGACGTCGTCACCCCCCATTGGAGGGGTGGGAATAAAACACGTGCGGTGTCCCAGGCAGAAACAAGATGGGTATATGAGCTGGGAACCTTATAGGAGGAGCCAGCAGAGCGTGACAGTTTAGCCGCCCGGAGCCACGAGGAGGCCCGGCGGCCATATTACTCTTGGTCAGTCACACAACTATTATCATTCACTGATTCAGTGTTTTCTGCCCTGTTTTATACGATTTTTATTATTTTTGAATAAATGTTCCTGTTTTTACTTACTACACTATGAGAGATTTTTTGGCTCCTACTTGGATCTAATTCATTTGTAGGACATCATACCTATTTTGGCCACCGGAGGGAGTTCCTCGTCCATTACTCACCTAGTCTAAAGAGGATCTCTGGATCTGGATGCTGTCCATTCTACCAAGATCGCCTGCTCTCGGATACCCACTGTACCCGCCTGATGAGTGATTTCCAGGGGTCATACTACATATGCGCTTTTATATAGCGCGTCCGGTGAGTGCGCAATTCTACTGTTTGATCCTGGGCTTTCTTATTTCTATGCGTTGATTCGCCTGGACAATATTGCTTATTCAATTTAATATTGGACACTATTTCTGTTATACATCACAATGTATTTTCAGATCATCTAAGATATATATTGATTTATAGAACCTATGTCATATCTATCAGCGCCGCACCTTCTTATATTTTCTGTGAAAGTCGCAAAATCGTTTTCAGTGTCTGATGATGAATTTCCCCACGAATCATTATCACTCAATTCTGCAAGTGGTTCTAATTTACTATCGCTGTTCTCTAGCTGGTCTAAAACCGCTTTTGACCTAAAGGAACGCTTTTTTAATGCCATGGACGTTTCTCAGTTTCCAGGCAGAAAGAGCGGTAAAAATGCAGGCAGGGCACAGGACAAAGCACTAGTGACAAAATGTATGTGAAATGGTTTGATACAGTAATGTTTTACTATGTGATTTTAGTGTATTTAGTGAATGTCACTTTTTCACATTTTTAAATTTCCCACCGGTCCGTCCTCCGTACGTCCTGACGTCGCAGGGGATGGAACCCAGAAGACAGATGCCGGCATCAGCCGGAGGACATTGCAGGGGACACTGCAGGAGGGACATCGCAGGAGCGCAGGACAAGGTAAGTGAAGAAGAGATCCCGGAGCAATGCTACAGGGTATTCCCGAGTGTAGCTCGGGGTTACCGCTTGTGGTGCTGAAAGCTACACTCAGGAATACCTCCAGGGAGGTTAAAGTGAAATCAACAGTGACCAAATTATACACCATGACAATAGCAATATTAAATTATACATCATTAAGTCCCAAAGATTAATGAAAAGTGCTAGATTTCAAATCTTGAGCCATGTTTAATTTACGTGCTCAAAGCTTGTGCCAATCTATCTGTCACAATCTGGCGTGCGCGCTCACCTCAAATATCTGACCCTCAAAGAGTCATAGAGCATAATGTATCACTGGATGATCCCAGGTAGGATGGATCACTCCCTCTGGCTGGACACAGGGTCAGCTCTCACAGTAATCAATCACTTAGGTGTCCGTTTATGACACAGAGAATAGCTGCGATTCAACGGATCTCAGCTATTCTCTGGTCATTCACAGTTTATGACACCCAGGAGATCATGTCAGCTCTTCACTGGAGATCTGTGTTCTCCCTCCAGATTCTCCAACCCAGAGCTGGAGAATCAGAGGGACCGCAAACTAATCAGAGATAATTTATCTCTGCTTAGTAAACTGATCTTTTACTGTAATCTGGTGAGATTATAGTAAAATGAGCCGTTTTCCAGAGTTTGTAGACCGTTCTCCCTTCGTTCTGAGAACTGCTTCATAAACTGCATTCACAGGAGAACTGTGTTCTCCGAGAATGCCGGAGAACTGAGCAGCGATCTATTACTGCTGGTTCATAAATGGACACCTAAATGATCAAACACCTTTAAGGGAATCTTCAATGGCTACTGTGTGCAGTTGTTTTGCATAGAGCAGCCTGGATCCTTCTCTTCTCGGGTCCTCCTGTCTGTCATACTCAGGCTGCCGTTTTTCTGAGCTCTGTGTCACGGCCGTGACTAGCGCACGCATGCGTGGGTCCGACATCATCGTGGCTTGGCCATTCAAATAGGAGACCAGGTGAAGATGGAAGCCCTGTTAGCGTGGCTCGTTTTAAGGTAAGTTTTTCAATTTGTACTAGCACATTATTATTTTTTGGTTTTATAACTTTACTATCACTTTAAAAAACAGGCAGCTAAAGTAATTGCTGAGTTTCATTACACTAAAATCCATCGCATTCTTGTAGAACAGCCATTCTCAACCAAGGTTTTCTGGAACTCTGGGGTTTCTCCAGAGGTTGCTAAGGGTTCTTTGAGCAGTACGCAAGGGTGGATTAATCTTCCACCCGATGATGCCCACGTAGGTCCTGCACAGATGTCACTCAGCAAAACCAGTGCTGTGGAACCAGTGATCAGTGTAAAGGGGCACTACCCTGACAACAAATGTAATAGGGCACTGATCACCAGAAAGGGAGGCACTGCTCACTGGCCATCAATTTAAGTGGGTTCCTTTCCAATGATCGTCAATGTAATAGGGCCTTTCTCTATTGACTACCAATTTAAAGAAGTACTACACTAACCACCAATTAAAAGTGACATTTCACTACTGACCACCAATTTCTGGTCAGTATTATGTTTTGTTCATTTTATGATTATTACTGAAAATAAATTTGTAATACAGAGCAGGGAGGTGTTAAAAATGGATCTGCTCTAGGTGTC